GAATTCTAGACAGATACAGGGATATGCTGGGGTCTTGGGTTATGTAAGTGGATCTGGAGGAATTTCAGTTGGTAGCACCAACTTTGGTAAAGGACTTGCATTGAAACTGCTATTGGCCTTAATGTGGGAAAGCTGAGGTTCAAACTGGCCTCCTTTGGTGAGTGACACATTAGCTCTGTCCTCAAAGAAGGAAATCTGGAAAACCCAAGTGTAAGGGATGAGATCAAAAATCTATAGGAATTAAAAACAAATATTCAAACACTAACTTTCTCTGGGAACAATGTGAGATACACCCAAAATCCAATCAGTGGGACCTGGGCATGACCTCAGAGAGGAGGGAATGTTTTGTGATGTTAAGTTTTGCTGGTGGAGGGACCGGGTGGGCCAGGACCCCTGGCCCTAGAACGCTAAACTCTGGTGCATTTGTGAGATAAATGCCCCTCCCTCTGCTGTCAGACTGGTGAGTGGACTGAGTGAAGGGGGAGGGGGAGGGGAAAGCTGGAGAGGCTGAAAAAAGTGCCAGCACCCAGCAGAGAAGGGCCTGTGGCCACCTGCCAGGTGCTTCATCTGTGCTCATCTGCCCTGGTGCCCCGGGCTCCCTGCGCCTTCATTCTGCACCATAGCCAAGTGGTGTTGCCTGTGATCAGCCCTGCGAGTGCTGCTGAGCAAGTGAATCTCAGACCACAGGTTCTTGTGCGTGGCTAGGTGGAGGGAAGGAAGCAAGTGTGGCACTTGGAGGTCTGGAGATGCAGCCAAAGATGTCGAGAAAGGCAGTACTGGGGGAAGCAGCTTCCCAGGAGGGAAGCAACTCTTTTCCTGGGGAAGGCCATTTGGGGTTTTTGTGTTCAGATTGATATGGTGGCCCGAGGATGGCTGGAGGTGGGGAGGAGACTGTGCCTAGTGACCTATTTTCCTGCTGGGGAGGGGTCCTCTGTCCCAGGTGTGCCTGAGGCTGCGGCCAGCCCTCCCTGGGCTGGGCTCTGCTCCCTGGTGGGCCATGTGTGGCTCTCCTATCTGGGACACAGCCATGGCCCAGAATGGGTGCGCTGCAGCAGAGATGAGCCCAGACTCCCCCGAGCGCCCACCTCCTTCTGCTTTTGTAGTCCCTCCCTCTCCTTCCATTTTCCTACACACCAGCCTTTCTTTTTCTTCTTTGCCTAATAGTTATGATGATGACGTATTTTAAGAAAACAGAAAATCATACATAACACTAAAATATCCGTCACTCAGCTCTGACAAGTCTTATCATTTTGCCATTTTGTTTTAAAAAATAAAATCTCACTAGGCACAGTAACGTGCCCCTGTAGTCCCAGCTACTCAGGAGGCTGAGGTGGGAGGCTCACTGGAGGCCAGGAGATCTGTGCTATGATACACACACCGATGTAAGGTCTACCGCAATATGTATGGGGATTATAATCCCAATCCTAGACAGGAGAAATGGGTGCAGGTGTTCACAGGTCAAATGGCTCAGCCACTTATGACATTGTGCTATGCCAGTTGATTAGGCTTCTGCATTAAGTTCAGCATCAGTGTGGTGACCTCTTGGGAGCAGAGGACCACCAGGTTGCCTAAAGAGGGATGACCAGCCCAGGTCGGGAACAGCAGGTCAAAACTCCGGTG